CAACTTGATTACGTTTGATTGTGACTTGATGCTAGTTAATTCTTGTCACAAGTTACGTATAAGGACAATAACAAGTCTTGGCAAATTTAATTTAGGTTGTATTTTTCATATCTAGAAAAAAATATTTCAAGATTCACTAATTTCAAAATTTATATGTTATTCAATATTATATTAACATTAAACAATTAAATTTTTTTGAATAATCAAATTTTTTGAATAAAATATTATTAAAAAAATTCTCAAAATTTCAAAGTAAACGCGTTTTCCATTTTTATGTTTTCAGAAACAGTTTTTCAGAATATCAAAAAGAACGCATTTTCAGAAATTTCAAAATAGATACTCAAAACACAAAATATAAAATGAATTCAAAACTCAAAACACAAAATTGAAATACAAAGGGAACGGCCCTCAGTGCCCTTGCGTTCTTCCCCCTTTCACATTCAAACGCAATAATAAAATAATAATATAGAAATTAGGGAGGAACACACCAAACACGCGCACAGTTGAAACCTTCCGTTTCTTCAACATTTGCAAACAAAAAACCTCCAAAAACCCTAATTACTGCAATCCCAAAATCACTTAATTGGATCTCATTTTTGATTTCTTAGAATCGTCGTTTACTAACAAACTCTCCCAATTCAAAATACTCGACCAACATATACAACTATTCATACGCACAGGATTTGATTTAATTGAATTCAGAGTAATGTCAGGTTCGGGAGGCTTCGCTGTGTCGCGGAGCCATGGTGGAGACAGGTTTTACAACCCGCCGGCTGTACGTCGGCACAAGCAGATGCTCTTGCAGCAGCAGCAGTTCTTACTGCAACAGAAAGAGCACCAGGACCAGTTGCCGAGGACGCCGTTGAAGTCGGAATCTTCTTCCGCCGCTGCGGAGGTAGAGGCCGGAAATCGGAGTGAGTCGGATGATTCAACAAAGGCATTGTCTAGATCGTCTTCTGTCCGCTCGGCTTCGCCCCCCAGGCCAATGCCGGTGAATGTTACCAACTTGGATCGTTTAATGGAATCTGTTACTCCTTTCGTTTCTGCTCAGAATTTTTCTGAGGTAGTAAAGAATTATGCTTTTTTTTCTTCCTTTTTCTCTTTTCTTGGATATACGCCCTATGGCTTTGTTTTGTTTGCAGGCAAATGCTTGTAAGAAAAGAAATAGAAGTTGTTCCAGTTTATGATTTCATGTTTTGTTTTTGCATAAGAGAGGAGCAGATTTTAAGTGTCTACTATTAAGAATCAAGTGTACATCACTTTTTTTAAAATTTAAACTTACAAATTAGTTGTCCTGAGTTACTTGTTGATACGTTAGTACCAAAGGATTCACATGTAAAACACGGGATTTGACATTACATGGCTTGAATGACATTTTCTCCATTCAGCAAAATGCATTCTAAAAGGAAAAGAATGTTCTCAATTGATGCATAAAAAGAGTAGTTGTTAATTTGTGGCATTTGAAAAATTTGTAGAAATGTAGATAATGTAAGATTGTGAAATTTGTCCACTTGAAGAGATTTATGGAGAAGCTGGCTAGGTTTTTGGAATTGCTGTCTTTTTTGAAATATTTCTGAAATTAGTACTTGAATGGTCTTTAGTTCATATAATTTTCTACGATTTATGAAAGAGTAGTTTCTAGAAGGTGGTCAGATTGAGCCAAATTGGATCATTTATAGAAGTATTTTTCATCAAGTTGTGGCAGTTTTGAAAGATTTTATCGGTAAGGAAGCTCTTAAAAGTTCTTTAATATGTGGAAGGTTCTGTTTTGACAGTTGAGAGTAATAGGAAGGAAAACGCGGGAAGTAGAGTCCCATCCATTTTATTGCTTGGAGGATCTTTGGGAATCTTTTCGTGAATGGAGTGTGTATGGAGCTGGAGTACCTTTGTTGTTAAATGGGAAAGACCCAATCACACAATATTATGTTCCGTACTTGTCGGGCATACAGTTGTACATAGACGCGTCGAAGCCTTCTTCATGTCTCAGGTGAACCTTAATAATATTAATCTTTGGTAATTAGTTATGTTCTCTTTAATTATTAGTTTTCTGAGTAAGATTTCATTGACTGTTATCATATCAATTTCAATTGTTTCTGTTATGATCATTTACTCTTGGACACTTGCTACTCTGATATAATAAGCAACTTTATTGCTAGTGGCATTTCCTGATGCTGGACCCGAAGGATCTTAAGGGTGCCACAAATAGTTGGATTGTGAGATAAAAAGACTTCCTCTCAAATCTCATTTCCTTCCTCAATTCCATTTAATGATATTGGTTTTCGATAACCACTTCTTCCTTTCCAATCTACTCAACCAAGCCAGTTGACTTGGTGGAATGGAAGAATGTAGCGACATTCGAATTGTTTGGCTATGCAATGAGAAGAAAAATCTGTGAACCGGCTCGAATAAAATTCCATTTGACATGATATCGACCAAAATGTGACCTACTACCAATGAACCAAAAAAGTGCAGTTCTCCCTTTGTATAACAACGAAGGATGAACTCATACAATGATACACCAGGGAAATAAGGGATTTAGCAAAAAAAGTTGATCCTTTTATCTTCGTATTTTGTTTAGGGCATTTCTGAAGGCATTGAGCATTGCAAACTGTTTTCTTTTACAATTCACTCATCCGATCTTTTGTTAATGTTGACTCTTTGGCCAGCCGCTTGACTTCTTGCACCACATTTTCATGGACATCCCCTGAGGATTGTTCTTTTTCACAGTCTCCCAGATCACAAGCTATGACTCCTAAATAATTATGGAGTTAGGGCCGTAGAGACAGCCAAGATGTTTGCATAGAAGCAACCACTTCTAGTTTGTACAACCACATGTCCTCCCTCGTAGACTTTTATGCCACCCCACATATTCAACTAATGTATCCCCTTATAAGAATACACACCCTTTATGTTTCTACCATGAAGGGTCTAAAAGGAAGTTCCTAATAGAAAGCAGGTCTTTTAGGTAACGAATGACTAAATATTATTTAATTGATGAAGATGAGAAAATTTATAACAACAATTGTTAGTTGCCGGTCCATGAAGATGCATAATTAGGCAAAACTTCTTGTTTATTGATCTTGCCCAGCGATAAAGAGGTGTTTTTGCTCTCATAAAAAATGACTTCAAGGTAGGTTTCCCCGTTCCTTTCTTTCCATGTGTTAAATAGCTCAGTTATGTTTGCTTATGCAATCTCATTGCTACAGTAATAACTAATGATCTTTAGCTATCTTAGCTGCTCATCGTGGTGGTAGACAATCCGTGAATGAATAGTGGCTACTGACCTTACAAAAGTGCTGGAGATGAATATTTTTGAACTGTTACTGGCATCAGCATTTGTCTCCTTTTACATTCTTGAGGACTTGAGCAGTAAAATCAGGCATATGCTGCTGTTGAAGTTACCTATCTGTCTTCCTTTATTTTGCTCTTACCTTCTCCTTTTATTTCTTTGCATTGTTGAAGATTCAGTGTTAAAAGTTGCATACTCAATTCAATAGCAGCTTACTATTCTTGCATTTCTATTTATGTTTTTAAATTCCAAGTATACTTAGGTTTATTAGATTAACAAGAGAACTATAGATGCCAAACTTAGTGGAATTTTTAAGCAATCTTACCAAGTTCTTTGGATGTGCTAGAAACTTTTTCTTGTGTATTATGGGGGTTTAATGCATCTATATTATATGAAATATTCAAGTAACTTTATGTCTGTGTTTTTTGAGGTCTGCCTCTCCTTTTTCCCTATAAGGGGAATGTATGAAAAGGCTCTAGCTGGCGAATCTAAAGAAAGTAGCATCAGAGTTGATGCTATATCAGCAAAGTTAGCATGCAGCATTGATCATGGTTGATTCTGTCAATAACTAAGAGTTGAAGAATGAGAACATCAAGATTGTCCAGAGTGCTCATACGTCATCAAGAATAGTGGTCAATAATAATCAAGATATTTGCTTGAATCATGTTTGTTACATACAGAAAGGATATGATAGAAAATATACTTCTGAGGTTAAAATTAAACTTGCCAAAGAAGCAGTCATTGAAGGGCTTGATCATAATGCTTATACTAAGTAATGAAGTTGGAGAAGCACCTGATAGCCTGCCCTGAGTCGCAGGAATAATATCATCTCAACTTTAGCAAATTTAAGCTGGCATGTTACAGAATAAGATTTCAGATCTATGGAATTTATTTTCATGATTTTCTCCAAGTGTTTAGTTGTATCAATATTCTTATTCTAAGTAATGAAGTTGGAGAAGCACCTGATAGCCTGCCCTGAGTCGCAGGAATAATATTATCTCAACTTTAGGAACCCATTCAGGTTAGCAAGTGGCTAAAACTACTTGGTAGTTGATGCCTCTTGAACATTTATCCTTGGCAAGTCTTGTTTCTTCAGTTTTTTTGGCTCTTTCTCAACAGATAATACATTGCTTATTGGTTGGTTGAGAAAGGAAGCATCTCGAGCATGTTGTCATTGTTTAACTACATTAAACATCCAAATCTGCGGTGCTTGTCCTATAGATTGCTTTGATGTTCTTCTATAAGATTAGAACTGGTGAAAATTATAATTCTGGATCGTGCTGACTACTTTTCTTTTCACATCACCATTTTTGAAAAGCAATGAAAAAAGCTGCCTACTTGTTTGCACTAGACATTGTAATGTTGAATTCTTTCCTTCTCCCCTTTCAGGGGGCCTGGTGAGGAGAGTGATGCTGAGTCATCTAGGGAAACGAGTAGTGCTGGCAGCAGCGATTGTGAAGCAGATAAACTATCCAAATCTGCAGTGGGGGGATGTTGGAATCATCAGAATGCCCAGCAACCGAATGGGCTGTCAGTGAGAGATAAATTTGTCAGAAGTTCATCTAGTGATGAAGCTGAAATTTCCAATTTGCCCGGATTACTCTTGTTTGAATATTTAGAACAAGAACAACCGCACCTACGCAAACCACTAACTGACAAGGTAGATTAACTCGGGATTAAAAATATTAAATTATCAGCTATTGATTTCTATGTGCTGGTGAAGGACCTCAGTTGAATATCTTCCCATCGCCCCTGCAGGTTTCTATTCTTGCATCCCAATTTCCTGAGCTGAGACAGTGTAGGAGCTGTGATCTCCACCCGTCAAGTTGGATTTCTGTAGCTTGGTATTTTTTTGACTTGCAAATTTATTTCACTTTTCTTTATTTATTTTTTGATCAAGTAATTTATAATTCATTATCTTCTTTTTCTATAAACAAATTTATGCAGGTATCCAATTTATAGAATACCCATGAGCCCAACTCTAAAGGATCTGGATGCATCTTTTTTGACCTTTCATTCCTTGTCGACACTATCTGGAAGTACTTCTCAATCTCTCTCTATATGTGTGTGTGTGTGCGCCCTTGTGGTCGAGCATGTCTTGATTGTTCTTTCCTTTTACTGTACAGATAATTTTCCACCTCAGTTTCATGCTGCGAATACTAGGAATGTCCGTGGCATTGTTGACATATCTTCAAAAATTTCTTTACCAGTCTTTGGCCTAGCTTCCTACAAGTTGAAAGGTTCACTTTTGAGCCCTACTGGACCCCATGAATGCGAGCAAGAGAACTCTCTTTTGCAATCAGCCGACGACTGGCTTCATCCTTTGCAGGTGAACCACCCCGATTACCAATTTTTTCGCACTCACTACTCTCAGCGAAGATGATGGGGCCTGAAGTTTTCTCATGTTCCCATATCTCGTTGAGTGGGCAGAAGTTGAGTACCAATTTTGGTACTATGACAAGATTTTTGGAAGCTAAACTGCTATAGAAAAACAACCCCCTCTCCACCAAATATCCTGCTGAAAAATTGTGCTGTGTTGTTTTAAGTTGTAGTTTTACATTTTAGTTGTGTAAGATTCTTTCAAAGGCATTAAGAAAAGAGTAGGTAAATCAGGCAGCATCAGGTGGTGGCTGTTGATGTGCATGATAAAATTTTGTTTTTAACATGGGATATTGGGTGTTCTGCTCTAGTTTTGCTGTTCGAAGAAATAGTAGTGATCCCATCAGGAATCTCGATTGGCCTCTTTTTTTGTCGTGGAAGGGGGATAGGAGTAGTTGATATTGGTATATTAGTAGAATGGCTGGCTATGGTGTCAGTAATTAGATGTCCCCAACTCTTTGATGATGATGAAAACTTGAATAACCTGTAGTCTGTACTAAAATGAATGTATAAAACCTATATCCAACTTGTATTTTTCATAAAATGTCATTAAAATTTTATAGATTTTACCCTATTTTTACTGTAATTTCATTGCATTGTTATGTCTCTCTTGTTGAGATAACATTTTCTGTTTTGGGGATGGAATTTTGATATTTAAACTCCATACGTTACGATTAGCCTAATAATTTGGATACTGAAGATTCTGAATGCAATTTTACTCGTGCTCCACCACTCTGAACCAGGGTTACTTACCCCATTGCCATTTAAACTTCCTTAAATGTTTATTTAGCCCTTGTTTGGTGGCTTTTTTTTGGGAAAAATATTGTTTTGAATAGTGAATTTTGGAGAATGTGTGGTTAAACAGTAAAGAAAAGTTTTGGGTTTTTGTTAAATTTTTTTGTGCAAATGTGAGTGAAAATGAGAGTGTACACAAAAAGAGTTCGAAAAGAATGGCAGACAAACATGGACTTAAAACTTTAAAAGTTTTTTGAGTTGTCACCGAATTTATCAAAATCTTATATTATCTATCATTATGTCACTCACAATTTAAAAATTAATGTACTTGATGGCATTATAAACAGATTTTTTCAAAGTTGCATGCTTTAGATTTTAGTGCATGGTACATCATCAAAATTGCGAGTGACGGATAGGATGATGTATATACTGAAGTTGAAAGAAAACTTTTAAAGTAGCAACTAGAAATTTTCTTTTTAGGAAGTTGAGTGCTAACTAAGATATTTAACCCCTCAAGTCGACAAAGGACCATACTCAAAAGAGTAGGCGACCATTAGAATTTCAAGCGAGTCGCCGAACTACATCAAATGCAAATTGTGCTCTAGGGGCTGATGGGATGAATCAGATGATTCTCCAACGCAGTAAGAGCGGTATGAGATTGTAATTACCATACCGATAGATGCGGAGATATTGCATTTGATATTGAAAACATAGGAGGAAATAACTTGTCACAACTCAATACCACGATGACAGAAAACAAGCTTCAAACATAAAATCATTATTTGAAAATTGAAATAGTTAAAAATTTGATCATTACAGACCATTTTCAATGCCTCCTAATTAAGTAATCAATATCGAATCTGGAATTAGGAATGAAAACATTCCCTTTTCATTGAACGTAAACACTAAGAATTCAAAGAAAGTAGCATCAGAGTTGACATAGGTCCAAAAAGATAGAAAGGTTATACAATCCTATATAACAGTACATCGACCATTCACCTCTTCACTATACACAATGACTCTGGCAACTAACGTTTTTCTAAATCCAACCCGAGACTTTCTTTCTAATTTAACAGCGAAGTTAGCACGCAGCATTGATCGTGGTTGATTCTGTCAATAACTAAGAGTTGAAGAATGCGAACATCAAGATTATCCAGAGTGGTCATACGTCATCAAGAATAGTGGACAATAATAATCCCTGTATAAATTCGTATCTCCTGGCCTTCTCTTCACCACTGTCTGTTGATGGCGATGGTTGTATTCTGCAATCATCATGAAAATAAGAAAAGTGATTATACTTATCGAATATCAAAAGGTAGAAAATTCAAGAAAAACCGTCTGTTGGAATTGACAGGATAGAGTCACACCCTATTGATGCGTAAAGATACATCCATGGTTATTGATGAAAGGACATATGACAAAGACAAGATGCCAAAACGGAATGTAGTTTTGCACTTTTTACTTCTTCACTACCATGTTCAATATGCAAAAAAACCTTCGGTGCACGTTTGGTATGTTAGAACCGGGTGGACTAAATGAAGAAAATTTTAGCTTCTTATTCTTCCTTCATATTGTCAACTATCCAATCTCCATACCAATCATGTCATCAATGATTAATAAGGAGATGTTTAACAAAGCTTCTGATAAAAGTTTAACATATTTTCATAAAAGTTCGTTAAAATTTGTGGTCGAAAAGTTAATAAAAGTTGTGGATTCCATGAAATGCGTGCTTAAAATAAATTGACGACTTTGACCTCAACTTTTTAGCAATTGTTTCAGCTTTCCCAAACAAACACTATATACTGAAGACTTTCTTTGAGAGCTCTTTCACCTTATAATTGCTAATATTGCAAGACATCTTATAAGGTAGCATGAATTTCAATGTGCATTTAGCATTAGGTTGAATTTTAATGTGTATTTTGCTACGATTTCTCTTTTATCTTTTTCCCATGGGAGTGCATGGAATGGCTCATGTTATCAGAAACCTTACCTTACCATTCCTTTTCCTGATACCCAAATAAGAGGCAATGGAGGAACTTATTGTACTCCTGCATCCCAATGAGATATTTACACCTCTTTTATTTTAATGACATATCCATACTGATGCCGGAAAGCTATGGGAGAATTATAGGAAAAAGGGCAAGAGAAGAGAAGAAGAGAAAGGATGGAGATAGAATGAGGGAGGTAGAAAGGGGAGGAGAGTTCGACAGACGGAAGGGAAGAGACGAGAGAATTGGGACAAGAAAATATCAATTATTCATTCATTCAAAGGTTACCAATTACATAGTATAGGACCCCTTTATATCGGGTTTTTGAAAGGCCTATGCTAAGTAAGAAAATACTACAAAAGGTAATAAATCAAACTGTAATAACATTTCCTAAAATACGCATTTAAATTTGGAAACTAATAATAACATCCCTTCTTATTCCCCATCATTTCTCCCCGGTAGATATCTCGACTCCGGCGAGATAGAGTGCAACTTATTGTCTAAGAAGGGCGATATTTCTTCTTCACCAAATAACGGAACTATTTATATGTTAATAATTGAACCTGAAAAACATTCTCAAGCTTCTGATTTGACAAGGGGGACGATCTTTCCTTGTAACCAAGTAGCAATAAGGAACTCTAAGAGCCACAACTAGTGCAACTCATTCACAAAAACTATCACATGATTCACTTCAGATGCACAAGGTACTAGCACAATAGATTGGCCTGCAAAAATAAACGAGTGCAACAATGTTGGCTCGAATGTACCCAATAAGGCAACAATTCTGCTATATTGAAAACAAAACCTCATTTAAGTGCGATGGCCAATCAAATATATTAAGTTCAAGTAAGAAATTCAATCTTTTCTTTACATATGTGGGAAAAGTGTTTGAACGAACAATGACATTGGACGTGATAACCCGAGAAGCATTACAGAGTGGAGGTAAAGTCATATCAAAGTCAGTGTTAAAATCATGCATCAGATTAGGCAAGATCAACTTCGGCATGTAAGTGAGGATAGGTGGCCTGTTTGATTTACGTGGTAACACTATGGATAATTCCTTATCCTCGCTATCAAAATATTTAATTGGCTCGACAACGAAAACGTCATTATACAACTAGATTCGGGAGGTGATTGTTTGGACTAAGATGATATACCTAGCTTATGGCATGCATGGTGAAGATGAAACGATATGTTCCATAGGTTAGCCTGTTGGTAAGCGTTATCTAGAGATTGGAATACAGGAATATTATTAGACAAGATTTCAGGATTCAAACCATCTATGAACCTAGACGCTGTAATGTGGGGAGCCTCATATATATAACAATTGTTCAATAACTCTTCATAATGGGCTAGATACGCACTAAGAGTGGAAGTACCTTGCCTGCAGTGCAAAAAGAATTGATTTAACAAATGAGTTTTATAGTACACGGGTATATTTATCACTTAGAATTCATTTCATCTCATTCCACAAAGTGACATGACGCTGAACTAGGTAATCACTGTTACACAAAAATGATTTCCAATGACACATAGCAAACCCGACAAGTGCCATATTAGCAATTTAGCATGATAAATATGACGAGTCACTTAAATTGTGAAAATAAAAAACCTGTTCAAGAGACTCGAGTCAATCAAGAAAAGAATTGGAACCGGTGAGACCATCAAAGTCCCATAGTTGTAATCTAGATGGAGGATATTACGAGGGATTAGGGCAATGGGAATGCACACCATCATACTGATCTAGAGTGTTGTAGGTGTAAACGTTGTTATATAAATTGTATGTGATATGACAAGATTTTTTTTTTTTTAAATTTAGAAATATAAAATTGTACCGGCCACAAACACTTTAATAAAATTAGAGCTTTAAATAACAAACTCTGTATACCTATTTGGGCCACTAGACCAATTCGAGTTGCTGGTTGCGCACGTAGTGTCCAGGTCCAATGCAATGAAAATTTAGCCGTGTTGTGAGATTAAATGCAACGTGCCCAAAAGATTCCAACTGGTTCTACTTTAGAAAAGACTGAAGGTTCTAAGGCTCAATTTGCTGTTGAGGTTCAAAGCTAGAAGAAAACCAAATTATGTTTCTTCAGCTCCTTGTAGTGAAGCGAGTTATTGAGACTGAAACTATTGTGGAGAATAGCAGTAATTTGGTTGGAGGGACAAGGTGGATGTTACTGGCGGCAGTATAGGCGTTGGCCGAATAACGGCTACAGTGGTAGAGAAAGGCAATTTCGATTTAAGCTTTGTGGAGGTGTGGGTGGCGACGGTTGCCCGTGGAGGTGATGAAAATAGAGGAGCTTGTATGGATGGTGGTGTGCAGTGGGAAGTAACGACACTGTTCGAAGCAGTGGTATGGGCGAGACAAGTGGTGAATGTGATAAAGTGTATAATGGAGGGATTGTATGTGGGGGTATAGTTTAGAGAATGGAATTGGGGAAGAGAAAGCCATCAGCGACTAGAATGTTTCTGGTGTCAATTCGATCGATGGTGGAGGTGGAATGTCGACAAGATTGAGGTAGCCGTCAGCATTACCTACGTTAAGAAGACGATGGGTTGGGTTGGGTTTGAATTATGGATCTCGATTGGGCATTTTCGTTGCTCAATTGGGCTGATGAATAGATATGACGTGGGCTTGTGGTCTAATAGGGTTTGGATAATAGAGTTGTAATATGGGATGTGAAGTGGGCTGTAATGTATGTGTGATGGACTTGGGCAATGCGTGTAAAAAGTGGGTCGGTAGTTTGGGCTGAGTGTTAGTGGATGTATCTATTGGCTGTGGGTTTTGTATATAGTGGTTGGCTGTGCGGTATTGAGATTTGGACCAAAAAATTTAGCCAGGGAGGTTCCAAATACAGCAACAAGAAGAACGCATCGGATTTTTTTTTTTTTTTTTTATGAAAAGCTAAATAGCAGGGTCTGAACAGTACCAGTGAACAGTAGACGACTTTTTTTGTTTATTTAATTTTTATTAACTGCTGCTGCCCGAGGCTGAAATTTGGGTGGTCAAGGGCTGTTTTTATAGGCTGAAATTTTGAAGAGAATTTTGTTTGGCCAAAGGAAGATTACTTGTTCTGATAACAAATTGATGCTGGAACGCTATGAGAGAATTATAGAAGAAAGGAAAAGAGAAGAGAAGAAGAGAAAGGATGGAGATAGAATGAGGAAGGTAGAAAGGGGAGGAGAGTTAGACATACGGAAGGAAAGAGACGAGAGAAATGGGGCAAGAAAATATCAATTTATTTATTCATTCAAAGGTTATCAATTACAAAGTATAAGATCCTTTTATATAAGTTCTCAAAACACCTATACTAAGTAAGAAAATACTACAACTCAAGAAATTGCAAGTTTACAACACATCGAGCATATGAAATAAACAAAATAACCTATTCACAACTTCTCCATTGTATGTGTAACTAATCAAGCATAAAAGATTGCCATGTCTTATTTCATAACTTCCAACCTCCATACGTTTCTAATAAATAGCTAAAAATGTCCCATATTTCGAAATAGGTCCAAAAAACCTTTTTTAAACGACGGTGACTACACCCACTGATAAGGCAAGCTAGCCATGGTAATTCGCTCAGAGAAATAACACATCTACCCTCTTAAACCAACACCATCAAACTGAGTGCTGCCACTACAAAAATTATACTCAGCAAGAACGCCAATTTGGTTTCCCAAAACTATCATCATTTCCATGCACCACTGTAAACAACTGACCAACTAAACATCATAGATGACTGTTAGGTTTTGGCTTTAACTCGTTTAAGATGCAGTAATTGGGGCGAGCGGGTCTTTGAGCATAATAAATATGCCATGGTTTTGGCACAGAAGTGGAATGGGCACTCCAGTGGCAGTGGTAGTAGGAACAATTGTAATATAGGAATTCAAATATCACGGATTGGGTGGCTGTGTTCTTGAAGTGGTGGAGGCCCTGGGATGGGATCTAAGGACACAGTAAGGAGCTGGTCTTTTTTTGGTTTTTCTTTCACATTTTATATTTCATATTTTCATATTAGTATGTGTCAGAAAGGATTTTGGGTCTAACTCCACCTAATAAAACCGGCTTACTAGGGGAGGATTGCCCTCACCTTATTAAGTGGATCATTTATATTTTCCCAAACAATGTGGGATTCTAGTACGCCCCGTCATGCACAGCGTGGACCATGCCAAACAACTGCAAACAAATCGATATTGGGTGGCACCCAACATTGCATAATTGGGCCTAGCTTTGATACCATGTTAGAAAGGATTTTGGGTCTAACCCCACCTAATAAAACCGGCTTATTAGGAGAGGATTGCCCTCACCTTATTAAGTGAATCATTTATATTTTCCCAAACAATGTTGGATTCTAATAGTATGATCCCAAGTTGTGGCAAAATTTGACTGGAGAACTGGCAAAATATCCCTTCAAGTACATTTTCAGCACCTGAAAGCTACTGAATGTTTGTTGTAGATGGAAGGAGAATAATGTGGAAGGTCTTTATAAATAGAGGGGGGTTTAGCTTGTCTAGAAAACAGAGGGAGCTTAAAAGCATCTTTCAAAACATGATTTTTTGCCTTTCAGAAAACAGAGAGGGTATCCTAATTTAAAAAACACATTACTTAGCAAGTATTAGACTGCATTCCAATCTCAAAAATTATTGTTTGAGCTGACTTTTGAAATATAATTTTTCAATATAGAATGTCGTCAATTTATTTCATTTTACAGAGTCTTAAAGCAACAAAAATCACCACCTTCTGAAATAATATTTTTCAACATACCCGGTGTTGTCAATTTCTTCCATTCCATACCTTATATGGAAGAACAGTAGTCATTGCCTCTATCACTATATGATCGCCACTCCAAACCCTTCACCCTCACCCCAAAAAAAAAATAAAAAAATAAAATAAAATAAAGAAAATACCGCTCTCTCTCACACACAGAGACAAGATTTTTACAAACCATAGCACAGATTTCATATTCATTAGCAACCTCACATATTTAACATACACAAAAAAATCAACTCAATATAAACAGCACTCGATCAGTTAGGCATACAATTTAAACAGAATTACATGTGCATACTCAAACCCATTTCTAAACCTCTATAAGTGACCTCTTTGACAAAGGAATTTAAGAGGAGGAAAATAAAAATCATCTAAACTAAACAGTTACATAAGCAGAGATATGGGTGAAGGTGGTGAAGTATGATGGTTGCAGAAGGCATTGTTGCTCTTGATGCTACAAGAAAGGGAATGAAAGCGTGTTTGTGACGTGGAGTTAGCCAAATTTTAGGGGTTGGATTAAGAACAACGACGTGGAGGTGGCTTTACGGCCAGGGTTCACTGAATCAGAAAAATAACAGTGGGATTTAGGGGAGACATGTTTGGCATGGTTATAAGGAGAAGGAGGAGGAGGCGATATTCCTGAAGGCATGGGGATGTTTTACATCTAGGATGGAATGGGAGCTAATAGGATTGCAAACTAAAAACCCAGGGTGGCAGTGGCAGAGACAGGTTCCAATAATTGGTCTTCAGACACATTTTTCTCCACTAGTTCCCTTCCCTTTTCTTTCTTTAATTTGTTTGTCAGCATAATTGAGGGGAAAAAAAGAAGAAGTTGAATGGTAACAGGAACCATTTCTCAAACAAGCGAATGGAACGAAGTATAATAATCTTTCAAAACATTAAACTCTCTGATCTCAAAGACTACAAGTTTATACTGAGTCGCCACCATAATGATATATGTAAATACTAATATTCTGTTACTCCACACAGACTAATTTTATGATATTTAAACAACTCAATTGTATTAATGATATATGTAAATACTAATATTCTGTTACTCCACACAGACTAATTTTATGATATTTAAACAACTCAATTGTACTCATTGCAATTTTGTTGAATTGGCAAAGTTGGACATAAATAACATCTGCACTCTGCAAACATCTAACATCAGTGAGACAAATAAATCTGCAGTTTTCAGAAGAGAAAGAAAAAATGACTTTTAAGCAATCAGAAGACCAAGCAAATAATAAAAGAGCAGCTTATAAGTTTTCCATTTTTCCTTCTACTGATGAACTTAAAAGGAAGAACAGGGTCCCCTATCAAAACATTAGAAAATTAAGAAAAACAATAATTTATCGAACATTGCAGACATGCATGATCTTGCAGGTGAACAATTGCAACAGCACCCCAAGATGCGGAGCAACAAAGTACAACACATCTTGGGAACTAGATAATTTTCCCTGTGCAAATTTCCTTGACAAAAAATATAAATTATCCTATCTGCTTTACATTACTAGCACAACTAGTTAGGAGCAATTGTGATATCAGAGGCTGAGTGAGAATGCACTTCACTTATGATACAATAGATGTCAGAAGTATATCTGAAAGTTCTATTTAGTTATTTATTTCTGTACTCTAATCTAGAGAAAGCGAAATATAGAGCTGCATGTGAAGGGGTAAATTGTCCCACCACCCAGTCCCAAGGGCAACATAATAAATCATAATGAAACAGTTCTAAACATGTTTGATATCAGCAATTGATTTTTGTTCTAAAATGTGGGAACACAATTTGGAAATGCTAGAAATATTGACCATGGTCCATGGTTCGCGTACCTTTCTAAAGAAGTGTCATCTGAACTTTTCCCTGATAAGCTTGCCTCAGTAGGAGTAGTAGCTCGTATGCTTTCAGGATTGTTAGCAGATTGCGCATTATGAACAAATGATAAAAGCAAAGAATCAGCTGCCACATCAGAAGAAGAATCAACAACAGAAGACTCCTTGAGACAATGTAAATGTTTCTCCTGCAACTCTTTCCTCAACATAGATATGGCTGAACGAGAATGAGCATTGCGGTGTTTCTTATTGCATAGAGTGTAAGCTTAAGTCAAGGCAAACGCAAGCATATCCACAATACACATACTTACAGCAATAAATAAGTGGCGTCATAAATCAAACATAATTAGACACGTGAAATCCAACCAATAAAACTAACTGAAGGATATCTTTAAAATATTCTCATGCTGCGAGATTACATGTGAAACCATGTTTATCCCCACCTTTGTGGTGCAAACAGGGCAGATCTGCAAACAAAAATGAACTTGTGAAAATTGCAACCGTGCTTCGATAAAGATATAATAAAAGATAAAAAGATCGATCTTACATGATTACAACTTGCAATAAATAAATTCTAGAAACAAGCATGCTATCTGGTGAGCTTGAAGCAATTTTCAGATTTTAAAACTTCCCACCTCAAGAAGTTTAGGGATGAAATTCAAACACTAGGCACCAGTATACCCTACCATTCTTTTTTGGTTGAATATTCCACTTCTCAATATGTCCCATAATTTGAGCTCAAATTTGTAAAACAGATTTTTATGCATGGCATTAAGACACTAGGAATCAATCTCTTTGATCCATTCACTGTCCCTAAATTCAAAATTTCAAATACATGATAAAACCATGACTCATTTTAGATCTTTTTTTGTGTGAGTGTGGGTGTAACAGGAATGTATGATATAAAAACCTACCATTTATTCTGAAACAAAGCTTAATTTTTTGGGTCCCAATGGTAACTGTACCAACAACAATAAGGGATAGAGGAAGCGGGAGAGATTTTCCCATAATAGAAATTCGATAAAGGTTACCTTATGCATACACCATTATTTCTTGTCTTTACCAATTTATTGATCCTATGAACAGAACCCCTAAATGACAGCACATGAGTGGACTAATGGACTTTAAATAAGAACATAACTTGTTACTTAAAATGGACTCCTTCAAATTTCATCAGCATGCTTCGAATTCCATCAATCAAAAATGAAAAGGTTTTCAGCTAGCCCCAACACTAAACTAACCAACTACCACAGCATGGAGCCCAGTTCCCAACTTTAACCCCTAGTAATGTCTTTGCTATTAGCACTAGCACTAGCACTAGCACTAACGTTAGCAATAACCATTCTAACACGAGAGGCTTAATTCGAGTTGATACAATGAAACTCTCGATTACAAGTCAAAAACTTTTAGTAAAAATTTCATTTGCTAGTTCTTCCAAGTAATTGAATTACACAACGCAGTAAAACATTATCATCTTGATCCGAATAAAAACAGTAAAAAATAGAAATTACCCCATGCTTAACATCCATCCGATGTTCGGAATCAATGTGGCAGCACAATCCAAGAACATCAAAATCCTCGAAGCAAAATGGGCACGCCAATTCGTCAGCCCTATCGTCGCTGCCGTCATCGTTGACGTCATCGTCTTCGTAGTCTTCTTCCGTCTCTTCATCGTCATAGAATATATCTGTTCAAACAATCAATAATAGAAAATTAATTAAATAATCAGCACCCAAGAGAAAAAATGAAAAATTGAAAACTATACACTAATATCTGTATCCATGCAAGTGTATATACCGACCAATATTTTGTTTGGAATACGAAGACAGCGCAGATTCCAAATCCTTACAAAATCGATCACCCATTTAATTATTAATCTGATTAAAACTGTACACGATATACACAAATAAATTGACAAAAGATAAGTGATTGATCGATCGCGTTTTCGTGAAACTTAGCAGGGTTTTTAATGGCGGAGGTGTGTAGCCCTTTGTGTATGTATATATGAATGTAAGTCCACGCGGAGGGTAAGTCTAGGGGAAGACGGATACCCAGTTGAGAAGTAAAGGGTAAAATTGTAAAATGGTAAATTGAAATCTCGGGTCGGATACTTGGATCCTCGTGGACAGAAATACCCATGGACTCCCGCGAACCTTTGGCAACTACCTCAATTATTTCGTCAACTCGTGCTAAATATTTCAAGGACAAAATTGCGTATGTCGTCCTGACTTTTCAAAAATTGCTGACACGACCCCAAACCAATTCTATTGACACCATTCATCACCAACGTTCTAATTGCTTAGCAAGGTTCGTCGCTCTACAAGGTTTTTGTTCAATTTGATTGTTAAGATCGCATAAAATTATAAATTTGTCAACAACTTTAAATAAATAATCCCAAAAGAGCCCCCGAACAAAGAAAAATAACCAGAATGCCAAAAACGAATTCACTGTTTTCCTTGACTCCACCCATCCTTGAGTCGTCGTCACTATTTTCTTCCTAAAATTAGAAACTTACTAACTCATTCATAGCTCATCGTCCTCCATCCATCCATCCACCCTACACCCCATCGTCGAATAATTGCCACTACTCGATATCACCATCAACTTCTTCAAAATCTCCAAAAAAAAAAAAAAAAAGGGCATCGTCTACCACCCCCATCACCACCACGACGCTGTGAGTCATTCAATCACGACCTTCTTTTCATCCCCAAACTTATTTTCCCAATGTGCGCAAATCCTTTTCCACCTAAAATCGGCTTCCTTAATTATCGGTTCATCAAATTGGTCAACTCAAAAACTCTAGCTAGAGCTCTCCAAATCTCTCTTAGCCATTGTCGGATTGTCTCCAAATCTTGTTTGATTGCTACTTTATTTGTATATATAATATTATAAAAAGTTGCTACCTAAAGGGCACGAGGATCATGTCGTAGTAGCTGATGTTAAACCTTCTACCTATGCTTTTGATAAGTTTAAGATCGTATTTTCAACATTACACGTGACAAATTTTAGTTATAACATGATATCTTTTGGATTTATTTTGATTTGATTTGATTTTTTTTACTTCTTTCTCGTGGTGGTGATGATAGCAATGGAAGTTGTCGAAATTATTTCGTTAATGGGCTGTGATGCTACCAAAAATCGTACCGGTCGACTTCCGAGCTTGACGACTGAGAATGAGTACGAACGAGGTCTTTCGGTACCTGAAACAAAGGCGTCGAGGTGTGTCCTCGTCGCCCCTCCGATGCTTAAGTCAGAGAGAGAATACGGAAAATATTGGATGCTCAAATTGTATGTAAAAAACGTACCTGAATAATGACTTATGGTGTTATATTTATAGAGGTAGGTAGTGTTTTCCTAGTATGACTAGGTTATTCGAACTCCCCAGAGTCTTATGACATTTTGAAGTCATAACTTGATCGGTGTTGTTCCATAAAAGTGTTTTAACAAGGATAGAACTCTACTAATTGGGTCCTTCTTGGGTGGACTAGGAGCAGTAGGATTCAACTTCTTTATAACTGAATAAGTTCTATCTAATTGGAAAGTCCATAATGAAACATGAGTTGTCAGGTGCGAGGCCAAGGCACGATCTCGAGGATGTTCCAAGCGAACGGGCAAACATAATTCCCGAGGAGATATCCCGACGAGGTCTATGATTTTGGG